CCACAGTCACGTGGGCAGCCTTGTACGTAAGAGGCACAGTAAGAGGGGACCTGCAAGAACAAATGGAAGGGGTATCCCATGGACAACCAATAAACCTGTCTCTTATACACATCTAGATGTGTATAAGAGACAGGGATGTAAGGGATGAAGGCCAGCATCCTACCAATACGGCGACTGTTGCTGCTGCTGCTGAAAGGTACACCTCCCCCCCCCCCCCCCCCCCCCCCCCCCCCCCCCCCCCCCCCCCCCCCCCCCCCACCACCACCACCACCACCACCACCAGCGCCGCCACTACCACCACCAGCACCGCCAGTGCTGCCACCATCATGACCACGATCACCACCACCATCATCACTGCCACCCCCACTGACATCCTCTATTGCAGCGTCCTCTCAGCCATCTGCCTCTTCTTCTTCTTCCTCTCCCCCTACTTTGTCTTTTTCTTCTCCCCCTTCCTCCTCTCCCTCCGATACTTCCTCATAATCGACCTCATCATCAACACATTCATGGTCAGATTGGCCGTCACAAAGGCCCAGTAGGCTGAGGCATCCACTGCCAGATCGATTGTTACAGATCCCTCTTCGGCGGAGATGTTCCCAGTCTCCACCGGAGCCTCCCAAGACAGCGGCCTCGTTTGACGTTGAATGGCATGATCACCGTGCCCCCTGCAGGGGTTAGAGATCTGCTCTGACAACATGCTCTCAACCGTACAGAACGAGATCGTTGCTTTCAATATACACTAGTCACTAGTGAGGAATAGTGCACATCGAGTCCGATGCCCGTGTGGCAATGATTTTTTCAGTGCTGCAGGCTTGCGAGTGCACCAGACATGAGGTGCAGCTACTTGTGCAGCGTTTGCACGGCTAGCAGCCGCCCTGAGCACAAGTGCTGGCTGATCAGCTTCCGATTCCCACATCTGGTTCACCCAGTTCTGACACACCTGACCCGCTCCTCTCTCATCCACCTAGCCCCGCTTGCCCCCCTGCCCCAAATGACAATGACCCGTCTCCTGATTCCCTGATGGAGACCCCGGATGAAGATCATCTCCCTCCGGAGCACATACCGGAGCCAATTGGTCAAGACCACAGGGAGTCGCCGCCACCAGTGCAACCCGCAGAATCAAATGAGTCCCCCCCTGCCGTGAACGTATCCTCCACGCAACCTGCGTAATCCGACAATGTCATAGCGCTACAGTGAGGGCGCTGTGCATATCATGCCATTAATGTATGTCTCCTTGGTTACAATTGTAATCCTTATACTGTTTCTGATTTCACGGACATTGTTCGCTGGATAGAAGAAGAGCACTGTGCCTTCTGCCCAGAGGACAGCAGTGCTGCACCTGGTGTGAACATAGAAGTCCGGGCTATGGCATTTATGGGTAGGCGACTGCAATTCCAGCCTGGTCTGCAAAACCACGTGCCAGGCAGGGATCCGAATATTCGGTCATATATCTTATATCGTCCAGGTCATTTCAGTGCTCTTACCTTTGCAGATAATTCATGGAGCCTATGGGACAATGGTGGTAGGGTGCACACAGTGGGATATATTAACTCTTTTCTATCACCAAATGCTGGAGGACCATTCAGTCTGGCTCGTCCATCAGGAACAGTATGTCGATGAGCACTTGCAGGCACTGCACCCCCTGGAGAGCAATCTGGCTGATTCTACCACAAACAGTGAAAGGACCTTGCCAGAGGATGGTGGCTGTGCCCTCCCGTTGTGTCGTCGCACAGGTGCAGTTCGGTTGGGATGTACACGGCATAGCCTCTCACATGAAAACTGTGATCCCCTGTCCTGTGCTCATCCCGCTCACCCCCTGATTACTTGCCCAGCATGCCGTTGTGGCCTTGATCTGCCATGCTTAAATAACTGTGCGCGTCAGCCTTCCATACTAATGTCCTCAATGCTTCCAGGAAGCTGTCATAGAAAGTATGTGTCTTTACTGTGTGGACTATCCCCGGTGCCATCACCCTCCACATCCTCTCCTAGCATGTCTCGCATGCGGTGTTGGTCATACACCTACGACGACCGCTGATGGATCTCCCTCTTTCTTGCCAGACTAACGACAGACACAGCAGCCCAAGGAGGAAAATACTTCTATATGAACCATGGGCAGAGCGATGTGCTCATAGTTTATCACCACCAGGGCAAGTTGTTGCGGACCAAATCCTGCAGCAGCTGAACGCCCTTGCTTTGGAACGATCCTCCCTGTCGTCGTCAGCCCATAGAGAAGGAATGAATACTGAGGATGCTCCATGCCGCTTTGTGATGACCAGCCGGAGATTCAAGTAGCATGTGGTTTGCATACCATGTGCTGTGAGGATTATGAAGGGATAGTCCATGCGAGTTTTTGCTTCCATACGTACAGCAACAGTCAGTATTGTACTCATGTACGGCACCCTGACATGTCATGCCCAATTTGTAGACGGGCTGGAACGGCATGCCTCTATAATTGCAGTCGACGTGCCTCTGTGTTCCTAGCATGTAGGAGCCACGTAGCCTGTGATATCTGTCTGCGCCGCGCCATTAGATGCAGCAATTGTGACTGCGAGAATTGGATGTGGTGCTTCCATAGTCCACACCGGAACCGGTCCTGTCCGGTCTGTAGGGGTGGCCGCTTGCCATAGGCATTAACTTCTCCTCAATCCAACATGTTCCCCTCCACTAACAAATAAATACGAATGAGCATCATTAAGAGAACAGACGATATGAAGATCAGAAATGAAATGAACGGAAGTATGAAGATGAAGGACGGACACAAAGACTTGAGTATAAGCTGAAAATCTGAAGTGAAATGAACAGGAGTATAAAGGCCTGAAGAGAAAATGCAGAGGAGCATAGTACCTTCCCTTTTACTCTGCCTCCGGTTATAATGTGCAAGTGGGTCGTTATGGCACACGGGGATGTGGTGCAGCTGCCGCTCAACCACAGTCACGTGGGCAGCCTTGTACGTAAGAGGCACAGTAAGAGGGGACCTGCAAGAACAAATGGAAGGGGTATCCCATGGACAACCAATAAACTGTCTAATTATAAAATTGCTTTAATATGTTGGACTGTCTCATCTCAAATGCTCTCGTTGTCTGCAATAGGACAAAGATTGCTTCGATTCTGAATCTACTCATCTTGGTGGAATTGGGGCTGTTGTGGGAAAAATCGATAACACACACACACACACGCACACAAGATGGGCAGCCTTGTGCGTAAGAGGCACAGTAAAAGGGGAGCTGCAAGAACAATGGAAGGGGTACCCCAAGGACAACCCAAAAACTTTCTAATTATAAAATTGCTTTCATATGTTGGACATCTCAAATGCTCTCGTTGTCACCAATAGGACAGACTTAATCTATTCATCTGGGTGGAATTGGGGCTGTTGGGGGGAATATCACACACACACACACACACACACACACACACACACA